TATTCAAACAATGACTTTTTTTTTAAACTCCTTGGTTTCTAAACTCAGAGTTGTTTATTGTGTATCAATGATTTTTAAACAGATAAGATTCAAATTTGGCAGCTGAAAGAAATCCTGCTTTGTAAAAATGTGGAAACATTTTTCTCACACAGTTGAGGCCATAAAAAAAGCATTCAAACAGAAACTATGTGTCTGCCTTCACTGAGACACAAAAAGTACACCCATCACGCAATCCTGAAAGGGTAACAAAAGATTTTAACAACAAAAAATATATAATAAATGTCTTACAGATGGGCTCAGTGTATTTTGGTGCTGCAGTGATTAATATGTTTCAACTGGTGATGAAGGAAAATGTGTTACCCTGTTTGAAAAGCGTCAAATTGTTAATTACAAAACAACTCAGGGGACAGATGTGGATTGAATGTGTTGTTAAAACCTGAAATTGTGATGAAACATTGTCATCAAGGCAGAAAATGGTCCAAACATTTGGTGAAATCCCTTTTTCACAATAAAATATTGCTCACAGCAGGGTTTGATTGTTAAAATAGAAGCATTTTCTCAAGAAGAACTCAAGTTAGTGGGACCAAACAGCTGTGTGGCCCTAAGAAAACCACTTATCAGGGAGGCTAATCGAAAAAAGGTTTCAATTTGCTATAAGGAGCACAACGATTGGACTCAGGAGCAATGGAAAAGGGTCATTTGGTCTAATGAATCCAGATTAACTCTGTTCCAGACTGATGACACGTCAGAGTAAGAGGAGCGATGGATGCAGTGATGCACCCATCATGGCCAGCACCGCCACCAGCCTGTGCAGCCAGTTCAATTTATTACAGTCAGATTAGGTGCATTAGTAATTCTAAATATCTCTGTCCTGCAAAGGTAGCAAAAGAAATGTATCAAATCTCGTTGATTTAGTTCCCGTCAGTGGAGAGTAAAGTGCACTGTCTTTAACAGGAAGAGACTTTAAGAAGAGTGGCCGGCTGCTTCAACCAGCTGGAGTGGGAAAGGACAAGAAATGGAAGCAAACAATGCAAACATGCCTGATTATGTAAAAAAAAAATAAAAGAAAGAAAATCCCACAGAAAATGGCGACAAGAAATGTAAACGTAAAGGGCAATCACTTTCAGAGATTTACACTAAAATCACCTTATTCTGAGAAATGATGGTGGTGTTGATGTTTTGTTCAGACCTTATAAATAATATTATGCTCGATCTCGTGAGATATTGCAAATGTTTGTGAATGACTTTCAGCTCCTAAATTAAATTTTAGCTGAAAATCTGTAAAACTGACAAAGTTAAAGGCATTTTTATGTTGGTTTGTTGAACTGGGTTGACTCCATGCAGCCTTTTGATTAGTATAACTTCATTTATGAATTAATTCTTACTTATCTCTCTGCATGTCAAGAAGCTTTAACAATCTTCTCACCTTTAATCTTGATATACCAAACGAGGAGAAAAGGCATTCTTTTATTCTGCTCCCTCATGAAAGAAACTACAAGTCTACTTGAAACTGTCCATCTTAGTTTCATTAAATGACTTAAAACATCCTAAAATATACAGCACAATGGCTTAGTGGTTAGCACTGTTACCTCACAGCAAGAAGGTCCTCGGTCCAATCCCCAATTTGGATTTGGGGTCTTTCTGGGCGGGGTTTATTGTTCTTCTCCTGTTAGCGTGGGTTTTCTCTGGGTACTCCTTTTCCCTCCCACAGTCCAGAACCATAAATGTTGGTCTGCCTTCAAGCCCAGTCCTGCCTTGCAAAAGAGATCTGTGTTATTAGAAAGATTTTCATCCAGCCATCCAGATGTTATCTTACCCGCTTCTTCTTTTTTGGGTCATAGGGGTCACTGGTGCCCATATCAAGCAGTCACTGTGCAAGAGAGAAACCAAGGAAAATCCACGCATGCACGGAGAGAACATGCAAACTCACGCAGAAAGGCCCAGCTGGGATTTGAACTAGCAACCTTTTTACTAAGAGGCAACAGCTCGACCAACTGCGCCACCGTGCCGACCCCTTATGGGATTTGCCTGGTTAAAAAAAGTTTAATAATAAATGAAAACAACATAAATTGACCAAAGTGCATTACAATTATGATTTTTTTTTAAAGAAAAAGGAAACTGAAGAAATCTTGACTCCTTAAGGAAAACACAAGTAAAATAAAATAAAATAAAATGAAATAAAGAAACGCGACTGAAAAACCATCAGCTCAGATTGGATCTCAAAGTCTCCCTTAAACAAACGCCAAGGAAAAAAACATGTCCTCTTATGTATTACTTTTATTTATTGGCCATGTGCATGCTGTTACTTTATATAAATATATATACACATATATATATATTTATATACAGGTATATA